GGGATTCTGCAGACTGTTGAGGGTTCAGCCTCCTGATGAGTCGGTGAAACTCCGACGAAACAGTTTGTCACAGCCCCTCGTTTGTTGTCCTCTTCTCTCTCTCTGCCTACGGTTTTACCGGGCAGTTCTGTTTGTGACGATATATATATCGGTGAAACTCCGACGAAACAGTTTGTCACAGCCCCTCGTTTGTTGTCCTTTTCTCTCTCCTTGCCAACGGCTTACCGGGCAGTTCTTTTTGTGACGATATATATCGTCATCATGCAGGATTGTTTTTTATACCTGTCCTCCGTTTTTATTTTTATTTTTTTTTGCAGACAAGAATGCTTGACATCCTGGTTGGTCCTGTCCCGTCGTTTGGCCTGTGGGCAGGGGCGGTGGTTGCATGTGGGACTTGTCATCTGGGATCTGTTTTGTTGCCCCCTGTTCTGTATTATTTGGCTGTTCCCTTCCTCTTTTCTTTGCCTCTTTGCCTTTTGGCTGTGTGCAAGTGGGTCGATATGACACACGGGGGTGGGGGCAGCCGCCGCTCAACCTACATCCACGTGGGCGGCCTTGTACGCAAGAGGTTCTTAACAGGGGGAGTTGTAAGGAAGAAGATTAAAAATGAATCAAGTTTTTCTTGTTTTCCTTGTTTTCTTTCGTTTTTCGCTTCGGCGCTCTGATATCATGTGACAATATATATCGTCAAACAGAGCTGCCCGGTAAACCGTAGGCAGAGAGGGAGAAGAGGACAACAAACGAGGGGCTGTGACAAACTGTTTTGTTGGAGTTTCACCGAAATATGTATGTCGTCAAACAGAGCTGCCCGGTAAACCGCAGGCAGAGAGGGAGAAGAGGACAACAAACCAAGGGCTGTGACAAATTGTCACAGCTCCTCGTTTGTTGTCCTCTTCTGCCTCTCTGCCTACGGTTTACCAGGCAGTTCCTCGTTGCGAATCTGTAGCAAAGCTATGAACAGATGCAAATCCCGAACGAACAAGAAAAATACCGAAAAGACTTAATAAGAAAGTAACAATGTTCAGACAGAAGGTCCAAGAATTCAACCATAATGAAATGAATACAAGCTGTAGCTAATACCAAAGGCATCAGATATGCATTTTCTACGGGATCCCAAAGCCACCAACCGCCCCAACCCTAGCGCATGGTAAGCCCACCATCTTCCCAGTAGTATTCCTATAGTTATATAATCTAGGCCATAAGTTTGAAACGGATTCCACCGTTCGCAGTAGCCGATGCAGATCCCAGGGCTCGACCCCTGGTCCTCACTTCACCTGTGTACAGTATCTGAGTCGACCCTGAGAGTTGAACCCGTGACTTGTGTATTCGCAGTAGTTGGTAGGCTGTCGTAGGTCCGTAGGTTGTAGGAGTTCGATCTGTAGACCTGTCGTTGTAGGTCTTAGCAGGTCCTAGGAATCGTAGCTGTAGCCCCTCCGAAGGGTCAAAGTCGTAGCTGCTGTAGTCCTGAAAGGTCAATGTCGTAGCTGCTACGGTACCGAAAGGCCAAGTCTACGGACTTCCGGAAGGTCCAGAAGTGGCCTTTCGGAGCTTGCTCACGTTTAGACAGAGGCAAGTGGGCAAGTGGCGAGGCCAGCTGCAGTACGTCGGCAGTGCGACTGCAACGAGTTGGCAATACGTCCCCATGCAGTCAGTGGTATCAGTCCCAGTCAGTCAGGGTCCAGTCAAGCCAGTACCGTGTCGGACTGTGTGCACCCAGGGCATGGGAAAGGGGCAGATCAACGGGCTACAGAAGTATAAAGCAGGAGGCAGCGACCAGTCATTCATTCATTCGCTGCGCAAGCCATGTGGAAGCGCCGCTACAGCGTCTTGTGCAAGGGTGGTCTGCAGGTTGCCCGAAGACGAAGTGGGCTGAAGGGAGATCGTAGCCATAGTCAGTAGTGGTAGTGCGGTCATAGCCGCTGTAGGAGGAAGTGAGATCAAGTGTGTGTGTGTGGTGGTATTCAGGGTGATCCAGAGTGAGCGTGTGTGAACAGTGGGGCTGGACACAGTGTCGAAGGTTGGGATGTTCAGGCGCCGATGCGCCATAGCCTGTTGAAGTGAACTTGCATCTGAACTGTGTTCTTGGTTTCCATATCTCTAAGCTTTGAGTGGGCGCCCTGCGCCAGTGTGAATCTCCATCTGTTTGCATGTATGTGAAGTGGAAGTGGAAGCGAGTCCGATTGCAAGTTTTGTTGGTTATGGAGGTCCGCGATTGAGCGTTCATGATTGGCTGACGTGTTGCAATGGGTGTGAACTGCAGCGGGGCATGCTGGCTGCCGAGGAGATTGTGGACGTTCTGCACAGAGCTGGCAATTCTTTCCCATCATCTGGATGAACAGGCGGACATCTTCCAAAGAGAATAAGCGTGAAGAATTCACGTGAAGCCTGAGCTGAGAAGAGTTGTTGTTCACAAAAGTGAAGCCTGCGTGGAAAAAAAGGAGTTGTCATTGAGCAAACACGTCTCGTCACAGTGCAGAGCTGGCGATTCTTTGACATCGAGTGGTATGTGAACTGATGGGGACATAGGGCTTCGCTCCACCAGTCAACCTTCAACATGTATCTGGACAGTGAGTCAACCGCATGCATTCTGACTTATCGAAGATTTTGAATGGATTGGGACCACTACATGTCCAGATGCATTCGGAATGGTGTGCAGTGGAGCAAGACCCATAGTTTCCAAAGATGATAAGACCGTGCCGAGTGCATGGATCGTCAGAGTGAAAATGCATTAGAAGGAAAAGTGTAAGGATAAAGGAAAGGAGGAGGAGGAGGAGGAGGAGGGGAAAAGGGAGAGGGAGGAGAGAGTGACAAAAAAAGGAGAGGACAAGGGAGAGGAGGCAGAGGTTCATAGAAGTAGGAGAGGAAGGAGGCAATCGGAACAGTTACAGGTCGAAAAGTCACCGAACTTTCTGTTTTTGGGTGTTAAACAGTCATGGAAATCGGGACCGGTGGGCCGGTGCAAGAAAATGGGATGCCTAAAACCGGCGAAATGGCGAGGATGAGAGAAAGCTAGTTTTCAAAGGGGAAACAGGAAGCAAAAAAAAGAAGAGGAAAAAAAAAAGAACCTAATTTTCAAGAGGGGGAACAGAAGCAAGGGTCTGGCCATGCCCCTGAAGAGGGAAAGGGGAATAGCAGAAGTCAGGTGCTCGTCTTTTTTGCTTGATTTTTTTTTCTTTTTTTCTCGCTTTTTCGTTCCCCCTGCCCGCTTCTTTTTAAGGTTCAGGTTCTTGCTATCTTTTCTTTTTTTTTTTTTTGTTTTTCAACTGCTTTTTTTTTTTTTTTTTTTTTTTTTTTTTAGGTCCCTGGCTATCTTGGCCCTAGGAGAAGAAAGACGAACAAGCAGATTGATTGGTACAGTCAAAAGGGGGAGAAGAAAATGAGGGATGTCTGGGTCAGTCATTTGGCAAAGCCAGACCCCTAGCTAGGGTCAGTGAGAGGAGGAGGCACGGAAGGTAGAGGGAGGACAATTAGAACGGCAGTTACAAACTGAGATGAGGACTTGGTCAGGTCCTTCACAAAGCCAGTGAAATAGGTGGAGGTGTAGGAGTAGGTGGAGGTGTAGGAGGAGTAGGAGTAGGCAGAGGAGGAGGAGGAGGAGGAGGAGGAGGAGGAGGAATGATGGGAACGTAACGGATCGGTTGAAAGTTGTTGTTGAGTATTCTTGACAGGGTAGGTGGTGAAGTGGTAGAAGCGTATTTGAGAATGAATTGGTCTTGGCGATGGAGACGACGGGGGGAAGGAGGAGAGTACTCAGGTCATCATCTTGCACGATCCCCTTCCATGAACTCGAGGCCTTGGCATGCGCGTCTGCTCCACCCTCGAGTGCTAATGAACTTGTTGTTGGCAGTAATTCTGTACGGATGTATGATCATCGCGGCAAAGCTTTGGGTGTTCACACCTGCACAGCCGGAATTTGCAAGTGAGCTGAGAACGCCGTTTTCGCCGAACCTGAGAGGGGTGCCACAGCATCCTGCCCCGAGGATTCCCAAGCGACGTGCCATTTTCAACCTGCGTCAATTTGGTGGAAAGGGTGACGGCAAGACGCTGAACACGGCCGCCTTTCAGAAAGCAATGTACGCTGTGGTAAGTTAGCCTCACCTACAGCCCTCGTTATAGGACTTAACCCAAATAAATTCAAGCCAAGCATGAACTCAACGTGAGCCCTCCTCCTAGTAAAGCCCAAACTATATGCGAAACCTGAGCCAGACCAAGGACGAACCGACTTGAGCGAGGACCAAGAGATTGAAGCAACAGCGAGGCAATCCTGAGCCAAGTCCAAGCTAGACCTCAGTCAGACCAGTATGCCAAACCCTAGGCAGACTCCACTCTTGCCCTAACCAAACCTGAGCCAAAGCCCTTGGAAACCAGAATCAAATCCGCATGCTCAAACCAAACCGGACCCAAACCGGACCCGAACTGGATTCAAACCCAACGCAAACCCCAAGGCAAACCTCAGCCAAACCCTAAACCCTAAACCTCAGGCGAAGCCCGTTGAAACCAGAGTCAAATCGGACTTACTCACGCCAAACCTGAGCCAACCAAAAAAATTGAGTCAAACCTGAGGCAAACCTGAGCCACTACCCACCCTTTACTTGGTTACACCCTTTTTTTTTAGGACTAAGTCAAGGCCTTCCGCGTCCTCTCGCAAGGGGGGGAGAGGGGGGGGGGGGGGGGGGGGGGGATTGCCGAGGATAGTGAACGAGAAAAGCAGCTCAAGAAACACATTGGCAGAGTGCTCACAAACTGAATGAATGTAAACTGAATTCTGGCTATGCCTGAGTGCTCTGAAGGTCTGCGACTCTGGAAATTGTTCTCTTTTTATCGAAAGTTTACGGCCCCAAGATTGCTACCTTTTTATCAAATGAATAGAAATGGGCCAAATGGCCACCCAATGGCGCTGAATGCTGAAAGTGTACGAAGCACATGGCGAAGTTTGCAAGGGAAAACTCAGAGAACCACGATTCTGCGGCAGGGAGTTGCGCACAGGCCAAAATTGGGCCGAGCCCGGGAGAGCGAGAGTGGAAGGTAATCAACTTGGAAGTCCTGGAGAGAGTCTACAACCCAATGTTAAAAAACCAAGTTCTGGGACGCATGGGTAAAGCCTGAGACTCTCGATAAAATGTTGAGTTAATTGAACTTAATTCATAATTTTAACAAAGAACAAGTAGACCCGCCGCAGCCACGCTGCGGCCCAGAAGAGGGGATGTTCCGCGGGGCGGCAGAATGGGTGAAGGAGCAGCAGCGGCGGGCAGGCTGCAGGTCGGAGGGGGAGGCAGCTACTCCTCCTGTCTTCTTTTTCTCTGTTGCAGCCTTGATCTTATACCTTCCTCTATCCCAATCCTTCTCCCCGGTCCGGCACCTCTTTCTCCTCGCACCTCGTCGATCGCCACATCCGTCTATCCCGATCCCGCTTGTTGCTCATCTCGATGTCTGCTCCAGTACCGCTTCCCTCTGACCTGGCCTTGATCCTCCCACCTTCCCCGATCCCGATGTCCTTCTATCCCGCTCCCGCTCCCCGGTCTTAGTGGTCCTCGTCACCATCATCGCCGTGATGATCACCATCATCATCACCATTGTCGTGACCATCATCGTGATCCTTCTCACCAAATAAAAGAGTGGACCCCCTGTCACCAAATAAAAAAGTAGACCCCTTCAGATCCTCCTCGTCGACCCCTTCATCATCATCACCATCTTGCTCCCCCTCCCCTGTCTTGTCCCCACCGTCGTCCCTCCTCCCACTTTCATGTCCTGTCCCCGTCATCAGGATGATGACTACGTTGCTCCCAGCCCGTGGCATCCGTATGGACGGTCATCAATGACTTCTCCCCTCTCTGTTACACTTGTCCTATCCCTTGTACACCTCCTGCTCTTGAATCTTCTTAGTGGTCCTCGACTCCTCTTCAGCATCATCACCATCATCGCACACACATTCACTCTTACACACACACACACAGAGAGAGAGAGAGAGAGAGAGAGAGAGAGAGAGAGAGGCCAGGACATTGTCTACCATCACAATGATATTGAAAAGAAATCCCGGTGTGAGTATCGACTAAGGAGCTGTCAGCTGCAAATGTCAGCGGCCAGAGAGAGAGAGAGAGAACGGGTAAGTCTCCGACCTTGCGGCTGGCCTCACGGTACTTCCATCGGTAGGATGAGCAAACTTGAATGAATCTACCCCTAGAACGTGGAAATATACAGCGCCACGCTTGTGTGTGTGTGTGTGTGTG